TTCTACATTAATTAGCAAATTATTCTAACAAATTCAGCGCTTTTCACGTCAGCGTTAATGTCTGCACCTGCACTAGCAGAACAACTCTCTTGTACACGACAATCAAAGTTCCGCTCCATAAACTTATGGAGGCAGAAGCTGGCCGCGTGTTAGCAAATACCAACCGCACCATTAGTCAACATGACAGTCGATGAGAAAGTTGCTTAGAAGCAAGCTAATGGCGAAAGATTCCTGCAGCTTTAGAAATTCAATGTTCCAGCAAAACTGGATGTGTTTGGCTGCACAATAAAGGGCGCTTTTTGATCCATATTTGGGATTTTTTGCTTACGAACGGTTCACAGATCTCATTTTAAAAGCGATTTTGGATGGATGACGTACAGATATTGCACTTAATTCATTTCATTTAAAAAGGACTGCATTTAAAAGCCGCCCAAGCCCGACAGGTTTTTCAAGCAGTCATCCAGTGTTTGGATGCGGCCGAGCAGCTGATGCGTCAATCAACACCATGTGGCTGGCCTGGTGTTCCTCCAGCACTGCCACTATCACTCGCGTCTCGCCCTCCCTCACCTCAAATCGACCAGTGTCCTAAGTTTCTGAGCCTTATTCCTTGCCTGTGATCCCATCCATCCTTGCGATTAATCATTTGCCATCAAATTTCACCAATGGCATAGTGTAAAATGTCAAATCAAAACTGATAGCATAAAAGGAAAAATGAATCAGCATAAAACTGAAAAATCTGCAAAATTCATATCTTTGAGACCGCTCCAGCTGCCAGAATAGGTATCCCACGTTGGGATGCTACTGAGATGTACCCATGTGCTGAGCGCAGCTACTCCAGGTTCTTCGGTCCTAGATCGCATACATTCAATTACTGTCTATCGCCTATTGGATGGAAAAAATTAGAAAACACTGAAATGAATAGAACAGCCTAAAACTATGGTGTAATTCATTAAGGATTTTTAATGAAGTCGCTCATGCGCTGATTTACCACGCCACCTATTTTCATGAAGCGCCCGCAGAGAAGAAAAGCGGGTAACATGCTTCTTTCAGTCAAGTTCAATTGATATCCGTGTGATGAAGGTTTTTTCTTAGTCCTGAAAATTCTCTGCCCTATACAGACTTTGATAACCGTGTTGAAAAGTTTATGACCACATTAGCCCACAGACTGCTCCCTACCGTTCGTAAGCTAAAACCAGATAACCTCTTTTTTAAGAAAACGAGGACGTGAATTTCTTTTCTTCAAATATCTAAATAACGTTTCGAAAGTTTTGTAAGGATTCAAATTTTTATCGTAATAACCCACAATTACTTTGTATTTTGTTCTATCTATCACTCTGTAGCCTCGCCAAATTAAGACACTGTATCTTCAGCAGAGAAACAATAATGTGGCTCCCCATCTCTGCAGCTGACAGATTTTTCACCTGCTTTGACTAGTCTTTCATGACCGATGCTGGCGGTCTTGACGCCCGCTTTGCCTTCTCAAATCTAGGTTATTAAAATTTATCTATTGAACTAGCTGGCAAATATTGGGCAGTGAGATAGCATTGTTGTCGTACAGTAGGTCGAAGGATTAGTTCCGTCGATGAAATAAAAAATCCCACTATGATTGATCTATTCGTTTCGACGGTAAAATTGGCATTAACACTTGTCAGGAGTCAAACCTGTCATCAGCTCCCTTATAAATAATTCTCGAACAAGAAATTCATCGATGGCCTTGCCTGCGAGTGGTGCTGTTGGCATTTGCTACGGGCTGCTTCCCGAGTGCCTCCGCCTTACTAGCGACGAACACAAAGGAGGGTTACCGAACTACTGAAATACGGCATTATGCTAATGCCTGTTCTCTTTTTCCAAATTCTGGAAGATCCTGAGAAAAATTAGTGAACATTTTAATAATTTTTTTCTGGTTACCCCCGTAAAAGTTATTTTTTAGCTGGAAGCGAAAAAGCTAATTGAGTTTCTTCGATTCCATAAGGAAACCGCAATATTGATTGTCTAAAAGATTGATTTTGAAGGTTCATGCGCAATTTGCACAATGACTATAACCAAGGTACTACTGTTGCACGCGTCTATTGTTTTACACTGTTTTGTCAACGGCGCCGAAAGAGTTCCAGGTTTTTCTGATTTTTGTTTTGTGTTATTTCTTTGTACACTATCTATTTAGTTAACTATGCGTTTTTTACATCTATGCAATGCAGAAAACGCATATTAACGAGGGTTGTCTGTGTGTGTTTCGTCTGTACCGATTTTTCATCAAGACCTGCAAAAGCTACAGGGCTGGAACTTTGGGAACTTAATATGCGTGCATGTACAGGCCCCAAATCCCAAAATGGCCACCCTTGCCCGCGTGTTACCCACGTGTGGGCTCGCGGCAGTTTTTCGCGAAAAAGTTGCTAGCTCGGAAGCTGAAAAGCTAGAAGACTAGGTACGAGTCCGCGAAATTCTTTTATGGGTAAATTGCTTATTCGAGAATTAAAGCTAGAAAGCTGGTATTTTAAAAGAATGTTTCCTGACAGTTCTGGCGGCCAGACTCAATTCTTTAAGCTAGAAGCATCTGCCGGAAACTACGCAAAAAAGCATCTTTGCATCGGCAGCCGGTGTGATGGCCATTTTTTTTTTTTAAATGAGCACTACAGAGACTGTTTTTATGCGTTTTTGCTGTGCAGCGCTATACCAGCGTTACAACGCTGCTACAGCCAACAAAAACGCATATTGTCGACAGGTTGTCTGTGTGTGTCTCTCTTCAGAAGCGAGTGAACTTTGCCACCCACTTTCACCCCAGCAACCAGGAAAGCCGGGAGGCTGAGATTTTGGATATATGTCCCTACCCCGTGTGTCACCCTCCTGTTTAAGATCCTCCCCTATACGCGCCTACACCCCGCTTACGGACCCCCGGAAAAATATGCAAATTTCTTTGGCGAAAAACGATTTTGCGAACCACGCAAGGTACAAAGCTGAAAATTTTGGAGGGATATTCTCTCTGCATGTGCGAGCCGAATATTTCAAATTCAGCTGTTGCGCACGCTTGTTCAGCGCGTACGATAACGTCAAAGCTTGCAACTTGATGTGCTAACTCGAATACTTGCTGGAAGTGGTTGAAATTTTGTCACATGTTTGCCGCCCATATATGAAGAAATTGTATATCTAAGTACCGATTTGCAATTGCGCGACGAATTAGGGCACTTCAAAGTTATTTGCAGCGAAGTGAATATTTCGCCTACTGGATAAGCTGTGAGACTGAAAATTCGCTGGGATATTCTACTTTCAAGTGTGGTCTTAATTCTGCTTGGAGGTGAAATTTCCTGCGGGCGGGGGTGACAAATACTCAACATTACCGAAAAATCAGAAACGAATGCGCTTTGCGGCGAACAGCCACTTTCATCCAGATATGTAAATGAACGTTCAGTTCATTTGCATGCTTGGATTTTTTGACAAACTACCGCTCTAGCAACATTTCCACTTTTTAGTGAACTAGAAATTTGCATTTTTTTCAAAAAATTTGCATTCTTCACTTTTTCAAAAAGCGAGCATTTACCGAAAAAATGACCGGACTTTTTTTGGGAGTTTGACCACATTTTTTTAAAAAATTCGACTGTTTTCCTTCGTTCGTCTACACCATGACCAAATTGCACATGCCTGTCCGAAAAACCGTCCTATCCCTTTGGTTTAATTCTTAAAACTACTTAACTTCATCATTCCTATCAGAAACTTAGTACTATTTTAAATTTTCCAGTACTTTGTTTAAAAGTTTGGTAATCATGGTATCTGGAGGTTCATGCGGCTCCATAATGTACCATCTTCATCCCAACTGACGCCCTTTCTCCTGCATGCTAGAAGGGGCCAAAGCACGGCCAATATGAGCCCAATTGTTAGGCTACAGAGCAGAGATCATCCCTACTATTAACGACCTATGAGTTTAGCGCAAAAACGCATGATCGCACTGGCAAGCCTGGTGCGTTCCAGCCAGGGTTACATATGTGTAAATGCAAAAACACACACTGACAAGAAGGTGTCTATGTGTGTGTCTGTATGTTGGCAGTCTTTGTCATCCACTTTCAACTCGAGAATCAGAAAACCTAGGAAGCTGAAACTTTGGGAGTATGTGCGACCCTCCTACTTTGCTATCATCACCCATGTAGTTCTGGGTTTCACTTACGGCTGCCTTAAAAAAATATTTTTGGCGGGAGAGCGATTTCGGAAACCAGAGCAGACAGAAAGCTGAAACTTTACAGGGACATTCTCTGTGCATGCATAAGCTAAAGATTTAAAATTCAGCTCCTAGGCGTTCGCGACTCTCACGTACGGGCGCGTGAAGGATTTGGCGACAGAACTGCTAACTTAGTAATCAGAGAAGCCGGAAGGTTGAATTTAAGGGGATATTCTCTGTCCACATATAATTTACAGATTTCAGATTTAGCCTTTGAGTACGCGTGGTACTCACGTACAAGCACACGAAAGTTTTGGCGGAAAAACTGCCAGCTCGGGAACAAGAGAACTGGAAAGCTGAAATTTTAGGAGAATATTCCTTGTCCAAATACAATATAAAAATTTCAAATCCTACCTCCAGGTGTGAGTGGTTATCGTATACGGGCACTTAAATTTCCGGTGGAAAAATTGCTCATTGAAAAGCTAGATCATTTTCAAGAAATGACCGCTAAACAGAAATTGTCAATTTTCTTTTATGCAAAATTTACGATGTTTTACGGTGGTGAGCGCACAAGATAGGTGTGAAGCAACAACCATTTGTGCAGTTAATGACCTATTGAAGTTAGGTGCAAGAACGCATGATCGCACCGGGGAGCTTGATGAATTCCAGCCTGGGTTATTATAATTATGCAGTTAATTTTTATAACTATTTACAAGGCCGTTTTTATAAACAATAAATGGACTTTTTAAAACTACTTTGTAATTTAGTTTTTATAACTTTCTACTATTTTTACGACTATTTATGTATTCTCTAAATTCAGAATATCAAGACTCCCTTTCCGCCCGAGGCAACATGCATGGATAGTATCCCACGTTAATACTGCAACTAGTGTACTGTTTCACTCCTAGCTTTTTCATCCTGCACTGCATTTCTTATAATACTTATATGTCTATGATTTGTTGATTCATTTTTAACATTTTTTAATAATTTGCCGGATACCATGTTACACAAATGTAAGAATTAAAATGTGAAAAGCTGCTCAGTCAAAGGTGTTCTTAAATTCAGAATTTCGGCTGCAAGAAACAGAAATAAAATCGCTGGTGGATGAACTACGTGTCAAGGATGTCAATAAAGCTGGTCCAGGACAAATTTTGCTGGACTTTGAAGGACCAAATATGCAACAAAAGAAGGCCTTGAAGTTTGTGGACCTTAATGCTCACAAATAACCTTTTTAGTATTACCTGACCAAAGTTAAAAGTCAAAA